CCATCTTGACTTTTTGGACCATGTATAAATACTCCTAGATGTAAGCCATATTATATAATTGCATGTTGTTTTTTAAAAAAAGTATCAAGAGCAAAGCTGGAAAGTGGAACATAAAACAGGAAGAGTATAAAGAAATGCAGAGAATGCAAGAAGCTTATTATGAAGCAGGAATGGGAAGCTGAAAGAAAGAGGCTTTCTTAGGCTGAGCAAGGATAGAAACGAGAGAGCAAGAAGATGGAAAGGAGCCATTACATTGGATGCCCCCTTTTCTCCGCAACTTCTGATTCTCCTGCTCTACAGCAACACACACAGATCACATCCATAAAGAACTTGTTTCTCCCTGTGTGTATAATCTATACGCATGTAGAACATGCCAGAGCATAAAAAGATGCCATAGTACAAATACCTGTTTCCCTGAAAATAAGACCTCCCCTGATAGTAAGCCCAATTGGGCTTTTGAGCATATGCGCTAAAATAAGCCCTCCCCTGAAAATAAGCTGCCCCGAAAATATTGCAACACAGCAGCAGCCATGAGGTGACCATGCTTGCTGCCTCCTGGACCTCAAAAATAAGATCTTTTCCAAAATAAGTCAAAGTGCTTATTTTGGGGGGTCAAAATAAAATAAATAATTTTTGGGGAAACATGGTATATATTAAGTTTTTCTAGGACAGGGTGGGCAACTAGAGCAACTTGACCTGCGGAATTCAATTCTCAGAATCCCTGAGCCAGTATGGAATTCTGGGAATTGAAGTCCACAGATCATAAAGTTGTCATAGTTGCCCACTCCTGTTCTATGATATTTAGGAAAGGGCTTCCTGCCTGTTATCAAACAGTAAATGTGTTTCTTTCCTTGTCTTTGACCTTTTCAGCCCTTTTCCTTTTCCTTTTGGAGAATAGGTATGATGTTTTCCTGCAACTGGGCTTTTAAAAAACTTCCATTGCTTTTAATAAAAGAGAACTTTCTTCCTTCAAGCCTAATTGTGGCATGGAGGATGCTGCAAGGATCAGAGTCTCTGGTCTATTGACACTATTTTTCTCTCTCTAAGCCTAATTGCCATATAGAAAGTGGTGAGACCAGAATTAATTCTTTCCTCTCCATTGGCAAATCCGCTGCCTTACCTTTCTGGAGTGGCAATTAGGCCTGGGCAAAAAGCTTGCTGCTTCTGCCTTGGTTTAAAAAGGTCATCCAAGCCTCATATATAGGTTGGGATCTTAGGCCCCAGGTAAACTAATGTCTCTGCCTTTCTGATTGCTTTGGTTCTCAAAAACTCTTCGATGTTGATATTTCAAAAGGACTCAAAAGGGGAGGCAATGGCTCCTGGTGTAGGGAATTTTAAAAGGGGATTTCTGAAGAAAGCTAAATGCACTTGCCAAATTCAGAGCTGGCTTTTGCTTCTTCTGAGGTTTCTGCAAGCGATTCTGTTAGGAGTAGCACCTAAAACCCAGGTCTTAAGTTTGATTTCATTAGCAGAAACTTCCGTATTTAAATTGAGGTTGTGGAGTTCTCTGCTTTTCTTACTTTGTTTACATTCAATACTGAAAGAAGGGAAAGGACTGAAAGAACATAGGAAAGTGCACTTAGGGTAATAAAGATATATTATTGCTGTAGGTGATCCTTTACTCATTCCTTGTGATCTGTAGATTTTAAATTTTTTATAATCTGTTTTTATTACATAACCAGCCCATTTCCATTTCAATTCTTTTACTCTCTTGATGATATATCTTTCGTTTGTTTTCTAATCCATGTGCAGGTCTTTCTATCTTGCCTTGTAATCCTGAGCATGTATTTTTCCATGGCTCTTTGTGCCACTCGTAGCTTTTATAAGTATAATCTTTATTGTCATTGTACTTAAATACAACAAAATTGGTTTTAATCTCACTGGTGCAAAATTATAGCAGAAACAAAAAAAGAAAGAAAAGAAAAAAGAACTAGTGTGTGCATGGAGTGATTGTGGTTGTCCAAGGATAGAAACTACCTTTAAACCTATTTGTTCGGCTGGCTATACTTTGATGNCTGGGTCCTCATTTCACCCACCTCGGAAGGATGGAAGGCTGAGTTAACCTTGAGCCGGTGAAATTAGAACCGCTGAACTGCAGATAACAGTCAGCTGAAGTGGCCTGCAGTACTGCACCCTAACCACATAAGTGTTACCATAGAGCCATTCTGATACACAGAGAGAATGTGGGACACTTATTGTCGCAGGTACCAAAGTAGCTAATGGACGTCTTAAGAACACTGAAACTTAGAATCAATCCATGTATCCTCCTGCCAACTGCTACCAACTACAGGGAAAAAACAGTAAATGGAGCAGTTTCAACTTTTTCCTTTGAAACTAAGGATAGAAGATCTGCCTTATTGCTACTATCCCCCACCCTTCCCCCCTCCCAAGAAACAAGTTTCTTAACAAAGGCAAAACACTCAAGTACAACGTTTCTGACAAAATTCTACTCTTTTTAACTTACAGCCTGACTGTTGGCATTTTGCCATATGTAACAACCAATATAAACATATGCTCTCTTAATCATTAGCTTTTTTTTTTTTTTTTGCCTTCCAGTCAATGTTGATTCCTGGCAGTTGCCTGGACAAGTCTCTGCTGGGTATTTTGGCCAGATTTTAGAAAAGATTTGCCTTTGCCAGCTTCCTATGGCTGAGAGTGTGTGATTGGTCCGAGGTCACCCAGCATTTGCTTTATTTTTAAGGTAGGACTAGAAGTCACTGTCTCCCAGTTTCTAGTCTGGTGCCTTAATCACTAACTAAGCTAGCTTTAGGCCCAAATGTGTCTCAACCTTGGTGGCTTGAAGAGGTATGGATATTAACTCACTCAACATGCTGACTGGAAAATATTGAGAGTTGAAGTCCACATATCTTAAAGCTGCCAAGGTTGAGGAACATGGTTTAGGCAAAGAAAGATGTTGCTTGTAAGAGATACTGGCAGTCATAAGGCCAATCCTTATCAAGAGAGGTGCAGTAGGGAATGTTTGATGTCTGATAATTTGCTCTATTTTGTGATCACATTTAAAAAGTTAGGAAACATTTAAGAATTTGATGGCAGAGAAATTCACAACGAGTAGGCTGAACAACGCGTATATTGTTCAGAGCATTTTTTTAAAAAAAATCTTAAATGAAACTTTTCATTCATAAAACTTATGCCAACCAGCATGGCCTAAAATGTGTACTCTCAATAAATCCTGAGGTTACCGAACTGGGAAGGCTAGTTTATGCCCACAATAAAAACATTTAGAAGCAAGATGGGAATCAATTGAATGTTTCATTCAAAAGCTCATCTTTTCCTTCATGTTATTTCACAGAAAGAGTGAAAAATTTCATGCCTTCCTAATCTAATCCACTGTTTACAATAGATATGAAATAGTAGCGGATAGATATAATTTTCTCCTCAATAGTTTAATCCAGCATTCAAGCAGTTAAGTATTTTGCGGCTGCCTTGCTCAGATGCCACCATCTAACTCTGCTTTGTGGAATTAAAAAATAATAATAACAGGGATGTGGTTAATGCTTGAATGGGGGACCACCAGAAAATCATAAAGCTGCAAGTTAGACTGGAAACTTATTCTTGACAACAAAATCATGTCCATGGTCATTAGGAATAGAGCCCAACCTCAGTTATTTTTACAGATCTTGCTAATAGACTTAGAACTTACTTCATTGTCACTTTGAATGTACACTAATAGGCATCCATTAAAATGAAATTTCATCGCATACAGCTCTCAATGGGTCTTCCCTTTAAGATATAGAACTGAAAAAGTATGTGTTTTTAAAAATGACCTACTCTGACATATTCTTCTCATTGTATTCCTTCTTTGCCATTATTTAATTTATTTTTCTATTATTTTACTACTGTTCTGCTTACACTCCTTTCATTTTTCTTCCTGTTTGTTATTATAAGCCCCTAGAGTACCCCCCCCCCACGGCAACAGCAAATAAATTCAACAAATAAATAAATCGGTGGTAGGTAAACATAAAAGATTTTTACTGGAAACTTCCCCCCACCCCACTAAAGTCGACTAGTGGGACAAGGTTGCTACAACAGAACGAATCGAAGCAACACAGCCTATAATATTAAAGTAATCCAGGTGCACCAAGGGGAAAACCAGGAGCAGGCGACGGAGTAGCGCTACAAGCGATATACACCCCAAGACCGACATTCATCCAAAACAGGTTTCAAGTCGCTCTTGCACCGTCGCTTTAAACAGCACCCACAAACCGGACCCTGCATACACGCTTCAGAAAGCGGGAGCCCCGTAAACGGCCCTCTTTTTTTATCTTAACGCCATGCAGATTATTCCTCTAAATCTAAGACATGAGAGCGGCCGAACGATTAGTTTCCGGAAGGAGGGGAAGATGAAGGAGAAAAACGGCTCCCCCTTCCCCCCACTCTACACGCCAGACTCTTTGAAATAAATAAAAAAAATCATTGGCTTTTAGAGTAAAGCGGAGCAAGAGAGAAACACAAGCGGGAGTGGAGAGGAGAGAGACTCGCCCGGAAGGGAAGACGAGGCGAGCGAACTTGGAGAGGAGGGTGAATCGAGACGGGAACCGACCAAGCCGCGCAAAGCGTGTCTCGTAGGGATTTTTTTGGGAGGGGAGGCGGCTGGCTGCGAAGCCCTTCCATTGAGGGGGGGGCATCCATTGAGACCTGCCATTGAGGGGCGCGGCCTGTGGCTCGCAAGGGGACCCAAGAAAGGGAAAAGGGGGCTTCCCTAGGCAGCAGGAGGCGAAGGCAGCGTCGCCTGTCGACCGGGCCCTTTCCGGCGCCTTAGGGGCTCCCCTATAAGCGCCCCTTCCACCCTTTTTCTTCAAGCAATAGCTCCTCGCTCCCTCCCACCCCCTCCCCCCGCTGGTCTTCCACGCACGGCCAGCAAATGGCATTCAGCCACGCAGCGCGAGAAGCCGCGACCGAATCGGGAGTCCAAGCCCAAGGGACGCCTGTTCGTGGTTCCCCCGCTGGGCTCCCCGCGTTCGGCCGGCTGTTCTACTCACCGCTCTACGAGGTCCGGGAGGGCAGACGACGAAGCGAGGTTGAAAGTGGGCGCTTTTTATTTTTTATTTCTTCATTTATTTGGCCGCTCTCGCAGGGCGAGGGAATTAAAAACGGCGGACTCCTCCCTCTTCCCCTCCTGCCAGCTCCGTGTTGCTTTCCCCGCCTCGCTCCACGAGCGAGCTCGACCTGCCTGCCTCCTGATCCGGGCCTGGCACCGGTGCACGTGTTATGTGCGAGGGGGGCTTCGGCCGCTGTTGAGGAAGTGCCGCGGTGCCCTTCGCCGCCTCTCCGGGATCCGAGACGCTGGGGGAAAGCGGCAGGGTGGGTGGCTCAAAGCCCCGCCGCGCTCTTACCTCTTGTGGGACGGTGGATCCTGAGCTCCGGCTCCTGGCACAAAGAGTCCAAATCCGTCTGGCTTTTTGATTGCTTTATCCGGAGAAACGCGCGTGCAAATGGCGAACAACCAGGTTTAATTTAAATAGGCAAACCTAGTTAAAAATCTACCCGAAAGGGAGCTAATTAGATCGTTCATTCGACCCAAATCGGTTTTGGTTTGCAACAGATGTGATTCCCCCACATCTTGAGAGGCCAATAGATCTCAGGTGAATCTACCTCCGTCTAATATTTTGATGCTGAAAAGTAATCTCACTTTGACCTCCGAGAGATAAATGCAGTCAATATTATATAAAAGTTGTGTCCAATACAAGGGAGTCTCTAGTTGATTTTGAAAAAGCTGAGCGGGTTTTGAGTTGGTTCCTCCTTGGGAAGGAGACCACCAAGAAATCCAAGGCTGCAGGGTGGACTCACAAATTAATATCACTACTACTAGAAGCCAGCATAGGGAAGCCTCCAAAGAAAAGCTTACACTGAGTTGAGAAGCTCAACAGGGACTTGAGGTTGGGAAATGCTGTTGCATATTAAAGAAAACTCTTCTGATTAATTGTATGTGTGTAAATGAAATTGACATTTACAATTGAGAGACATTGTTGATATACAGTCTCATCTCAGCTTTACTAGTCCCTATATTTGAGCTCAGCTTTTCTTACAGGAATGTTGCAAAAACAACAGGGGATGAACAATACGTGGATAATCAAGATTTAAATAAAACCGGCAATTGTACATTTCTAGGGTTCTTTTTATTGTTAGCTAGCTGATAACCTGGTGCTGCCCTGGTATTTATTTATAGGGGAAAAATGTCCAGACCAAACATAATTTCTAATGTTGGATTCCCCCCCCCCCCTTACCAGAGGGAGTCCCCTTGTGGAGTACTGTGAATCCGTTACCATGGCAACTCCACTGCATTGTACAGTAGAAACCATTTGAAGGCACAACAGGCTGTATCCAAACAGAACCCCCCCCCCCCCCTGAGGTGTGTTAGGGGTGTCTTATCCCCACAGTATTTGTTTCCAGAGAGTAAGACATCTGTGTACCAAGTTTGGTTGAGATTGA